ATTAAAAATCAAGAAATTTGTCTCTGTGTCCTTTACTGTACTTGAATACTGAAACATTCACTGTATAATTTTCAGCAGTGTGCTATACATAATGAAATAAAACTCGCTTCATTTAATGATATAGCTGAATTTCTAGTTTATTGGAGAGCCCCCATAAATTATTTCCTTTTTAATAATAATATTCTAAATGGGATTTGAGCAACTGAAACCCAGTTATCGTACTTAACTGCCACAGTTTCTTCCTCAAGAATATGGAGGCATATAGATGGTTTGGTGAAATATTTGGGATATTTTTACTCATTACGTATTAAAAAACTAGTTCATTATCATCACTAGGAAAGTAAGATTACAGACTTGCCACTGTAAGGAGAAGACTCTACATCTTCAAGTTAAACGTACAATGAAGTGCAAAATCCTATAACCGTTTTTATTATTACTTGAACTATTGCAGAATTTTATAACAGCACTCGATAATTTAAATTCCGTTAGTAATATGAAATGTTTAACTCGCAGTGCAAAGTTTGTGCCAGAAATTTTTTGGTATTGGAACTAATCTGTAATCACGATCGCGGAAGGGTTCTCCACCATCTTCAAATGAATGTTTGTATACTCTTAGGTCTCCTTTAGAATTGATAGTCAAAATATTATATCATTCAAAGGAATTTCTGTATAGATATGAATATAGATGTCTTTAAATTCTTGATTACTACTGTTCTTCAGGGTTCATTTTGAAGGGATTATTTGCCTTTGTAGTCGTGGTACTGAGGTTGACCTGATGCTTTCTAATTCWGTGAGAATAAACCTCATCTAAACAAACGGAATCCATGGAAGCGATCAATTTAGGTGGGTTCAATCATGGTTCATTTCAAATCCGATACTCTTTAATTCATGAAGACTAAAATGGGTTCTCCACCAACGAAATCCCTACTAATGACTGTTGGGGTCAACATGGTTTATTTTAGACCAGATACTTCATGAAGACCTAACGCGGGTTCACCAATGAAAACCATGATAATGAGACTGTTTGTAATGAGGTTTTAGTTCATTCTAACACGACCCTCCAATTCTGTGGGTTCTCCACCAATGAAATCCCTAATTATGACCAATGGGAGGACAATTTTGGCTGAAGACATGATACAATATATTTCAGTCACAACTGAGTTTGTCGATCATGTAGTTCATATTAATGACCAAGTTTATTATAAAGACAAAACTAACCTCTCCACCAATGTAATCTATAGTTAAGAACACATTGAAAGCCACTGGGTTTCTAGCAAACAGGATTATGATACTCATTAATTCAGTAAGACTGAACAAAGTCGACCAATGAAATCCATGGGAAATGACTGTTTATAATGAAGATCGTTCATTGTAGATATCATGAAACTCTGCAGGTTCTCCAGCATTGAAATCCTTAGACAATTGTGTAGCATGTAGACCTTTCATTCATACTGAACTGGATTCTACACCATRGTAATGACTAAACTCATGAATGCAGTCAGTTACATGTAGACCTGACATTCAGTTGGATAGAACTGGGTTCTCCACCATGATAATAACAAAGTTCCTTCCTCTGCAAATATGCTAAATGTCTGTCATTTGACATGGTACTCTTTTAGTAAGGCCAGGTGGGTCTCCACCAATGAAATTTATTGCTAAGCAAGATTCTTTGGAAACTGAATAGCAGCCTTTGTTATGATAATTAAGAAAATTTGTTAACAACTAATTATCAGAAACTATGCATGGACCATGGGGATATTTTTTACCTGCATCTAAGGATGGATTAAGGAGGGAGGACCACATTTTTGGGATTTTGAACATTGAAAATGCGAGTAGCTGGATAATGAAGCTTACTTTTCACAATTTCTAAGGAACATCAATATATAAGAAATCCCCACTGCTCTGCAGTCCTTGCTATGGTGATCTATCTGAAATTTTCTATCTGAATGTTTCAAGCAAGGCAATTGAAGAAGTATTCAATTGAGCAAAAAGAACTACCGAAAGAGAGGTGTTTTCTACAACGTTTGTGTTTTCCATGTGCCCTTTTCCTTTTTGGGTTAAAACTTTGGTTTCCCATATATAATGTGCCAAAGAGGTCACACAATAATACTCTCAGTTAGTATCTTCAATATATTGACTATGTCATCACATGGAATAAAATGTTGATAGAAATTTAAAATATCTAATCTGTTGCATTTTTGTGACCATACAGAAGTCATCTCACACCCTTAGCATCATTTTGTTTTATTACCTAGTCAACCACTGAACAAAACCAAGACACACTCGGTTGAAATACATTATACAAACGCTTATATCACATGATGCGGGTAATCCATCGCATGATGCAACAATGCCTGCCGTGGAGGGGTAACTATCAGTGCRTAGAGCCTGCCTCTTCAGAAAATTTTGTTGAATAACCATAGCAGGCATTGTCACACCATGTGATAGATTACATCACCAATGATTTGGAGAGGAACATTTGTTGTTGAATAATAATTGTTAAAAGTTGTGCATCAATTGAGGGCTTTATTTGTTGTCAGGTTGAACAATGAAAGTACCAGCAATGGAAGGAGCTAGTTCATCATGTTCTAAAAAGCAATCCAAATGGTAAAAAGGTAAATCATATATAGGTGTCAGAATCTTTGCACTTAAAGAATCATAACCACCCGTCGTATCTTGCGCGCTCGTATTATTGTTTACATACGTTTAAATGCGTCAAGCATACAATAACTTATAGATTGATATTACCTGTGAGGTACTTAGTTAAAGGTATTTCTGTCCAAACTGAAAGGACRGAAGACRATTTGCGCTCACTTTAAGAAATCCTACAAATCCGCCATTTTCGTGTCCACCTAAAATGTCGCTTCAGTTCGCAAGGTACGGCGGGTGGTTATGATTCTTTAACTCATATGAAACACTTATTGTTGGGCATGTGTTCCTAGTCTCTCTCATAGACATAACTTCATGTTTTGGTCAAATTTCCTTTAAAAATGTCCTCCTTTTAGGAGGGACAGACTGTGAAGGGCACTAGGAAATACTCCACTCATGTAGGTTATGTGTAATGACTATCATTAAGAGAGTAAGCATTTGAGACAAGTGAGTAATGAAATTTGATTCCTATATTTTGTTCAAGGACAGAATGGAAGGGAGTTGTAAATACAAAGACAGACAAGAAAAGCTGCACAGGACCAAGAGAGATGGAGGCACTCGTGAAAAGCTATCTACCACATACCATGAACTACGGAGACAAAAGGTAAGTTTATCTACAGTAGAGTTATAATATTAATTCCTATAGGGATCCTTTGAAGATGTATTATCAGATGTTTTAGCATCGCTAACAGAGTGTTCATTTTGTGTTTCAGGCTGTGTTTTATCCTGAATGGTATTCACTGAGGAAGAAGCTGCGTTGCTGTTGCTCTTTGATTCCATTTGTTTGAATATTCTGTCCAGGCGAGAACAGTCTTCATTTGCTTCTTCGATAGACTGGTGCTGAGATTAAAAGAAAAATAGTATTTTCAAATAAACTTTGTGCAATTAACCTGTGTACATGTTGCAAAATGSCTTTTTGTTATTTATGGTAGGAACAATAGGAGATGTTATRGGAAAAGAAACAAGACCTAAACAATATTAATTGGTAATTCACTTTCAATTGATAGATTAAACAAAGAGCACTGATATTGCGTATAAAAAGTAAATATACTACACTGCAAAAACTACACTAAAATAATAGTTTAATTTTTTAGAACTGCGTAATGTAGCCACAACTTTTCCTCAATTTATAAGTCTTTCCTACAGCATCAATTATTTAAAAATGGTTTTATGGTTACAAACCTGTTTTTGATACGCCTCTTGTTGTTCTTCATATAAACGCTGTTGCTGTTGTTGCTGCTGTGCATATAAACTCTGTTGCTGTTGTTGCTGCTGTGCATATAAACTCTGTTGCTGTTGTGAATATGCTTGTTGTGCTTGTTGATAAAGTTGTTGTTGTTGTTGTTGTTGTTGATAGTTGTTGTGGCTGTCGTAGCCCAAATTCTTGTAATACCATGACCAATATTCATGGTTAGAATATTGACTATTAGTGTTGGGGTAAGGTGCAGTCACTCCATCACCACTTTCTATTGGTTGAGGTCTGGACTCTAGTTCTTGGATAATTCCTTTCTCATGAGCTGCTTCGACTAGCTTTTCTTTAGCATTTTCTAAATCCTACATTTAAAGAAATAGACTTTGTTTCAGGCTTGATGTATTAGATTAAATTATAATAAAGTTATTACTTTTTAAGTAGTTTTCAGCATTCCTGATGCATACCAGTTTCTCGATGATAAGGTGACATTTTGCTGAAAATTTTACTTTGACTGCATCTTTTTTTCTCATTCTCAAGACTTCTGTACAGTATGCTAATTACTCTATTATGGATTCACTGGTCAACACACTCATTAATAAAAGAAGGCCTCATTTAGCGAAGTCTGTTGTTGTTTATTTTTTGTACCTTCACACATTCCTGYGAGTAAACTAAATTGAATCCAACTTGGGCAAGTTTAATTGACTTAATGAAGCACAACCAGGCATACCTTTTTGTAAGCCCTGGGATTYGGGTCATCATTTGCCCATCTGACATTGAGTACATCCCTACAACCCAACCGTTGGTCACCCATTGCAATCTGTGGTAAACATAGAAGAATTTCAGTCATGAAATTACATGAAAGCCATTAAATGATGGAGTGAACCTTTGAAACAAAACTAAGGTTAATTTTGTCCAATGAACAGYAATTTTTAAAAGATTTGATCATTACTTATGGCCATTGCAATATTTGAYTACTATCACTCTATTTCATTGTTCTGTAACTAACAGTTGTTTTTAGCATTATAGTACATTCAACAAAATAATACATTCTGATTGGTCGAGAGGAGTACAATTACAGCGTTAATTGTACTCCTTAATTAAGTTGAATGTACTATAAACAAAAAATCGCACAAACCTCTCGTACAATTTGGAATTAATAGACACGAGTAATGTTTTGAAAGTTCTCATGATTGTACGAGCCCTATCGGGCCCTATCGATATTAATAATAATATAATAATAATAATATATTTAATTCCAAATTGTACTCAAGGTCGTGCGATTTCCTATACAAATCTTCTTTTATTATAATTACCTTTGCAAACTCTGCATTCAGTCTGTTTTTGAACCTTACAAAAGCAATATTTTTCTTTGCTATAACTCTGATGTCCTGCAAATAATTAAAATACAAAATGATTGTACATATTTTCAAGAGCAAGACATGATAYTTTGTGTAGATTTGTTATGAAATAATAAGCGGCGCATTTCAAATATTTTCTTAACTGCAAATTACCTCAATTTCTCCCCATTCTCCAAACTCTTCCCAGAGTTCTTTTTCAACAGCTTTGCGACTTCCAAGRCCACCAACATAAAGTGTTGTACAATCCTTCTCAAAGGACCCCACCCCWCCTAGGTTTTCTTTGTGGTTTAGGTGACGTTCACGMCCAAAGCAATCAACAGTGAGACCAATCCTTTAGATAGATGTTGTAAGGTTTTTGAAAAGTCATAGATTTAATAATATTTTTCCATAAGATCTGCAATTTCATTGACCTATTGATTGGCAAATGAGTGTGTGGACTAATGGAGTGTCTAATGCCAAATCGATTAATATGTGGAGTGGTTGATGAAATGGTAGGTTTGACTGGCATCTGACAACTAATGGATGAGTGGACTGAATGATTGATTGATTGATGAATTGATTGATCAATACCAGACTGATTGATCAGTTGACTGATTGATTGACCAATTCATTGATTGCTTGACTGGTTGATTGATTGATTGACAGCTAAAAAAAAAANAATCAACAGTGAGACCAATCCTTTAGATAGATGTTGTAAGGTTTTTGAAAAGTCATAGATTTAATAATATTATTTTTCCATAAGATCTGCAATTTCATTGACCTATTGATTGGCAAATGAGTGTGTGGACTAATGGAGTGTCTAATGCCAAATCAATTGATATATGGAGTGGTTGATGAAATGGTAGGTTTGACTGGCATCTGACAACTAATGGATGGGTGGACTGAATGATTGATTGATTGATGAATTGATGTAATGTTTAAAGGCCGACAATGAGGACTTGACGGGGTTTCAAAGTCCGCGCAATTAGTTCCAGTCCGAGGCGCTAGCCGAGGACTGGAACTATTTGCAAGGACTTTGAAATCCCGTCAAGTCCGAATTGGAGGCCTTTGAACGACTTCAAAAACTCATTAATTATTCGGGAGGGAAAAAAAGCGAAGGAAATACATATAACAGAAATATATTGATTTATTGCATCTCCACTAAGGTTTTCAGTTTTCATAATTTTGAATACATGAAGCACCGTTTGTTGTTCTTCAATTCCCGGACGGCTTTCTGAAACAAAAGCTATTCAAATTGTCTTTGTCTGCTATTCATGGCATTCCTAATGAGCCTAATCCATAAGATTTATAAGTATGTTATCTTCCGAGGAATCGCATCAGAAATTCAGTGGTGTAATGGTATAAGACGGCGCATATAGACTGGACGGTACGGGATCGAGTCGTGAGGGAGTCATGTATCAAAGACCTTTTTTCACTAAATTAATGTTAAACTGATTATTTCTAATAATTTGATTATCATTAGCTAGTAGTAGTTGGAAACATGGTAGAAGTAACTGGAAATAAGGTAGAAATAACTGGAAATAATGTAGAAGTAACTTGAAAAAGTTAGAAGTAACTGGAAATAAGGTAGAATACAAAAGTGCGAGTACTTCCTCTAGTTTCAAGTTACTTCACGTGGTACAAATTACAATCAGGGATTGGCTGAATACCTCATGAATAATTAATGAGTTTTTGAATGATCAATACCAGACTGATTGATCAGTTGACTGATTGATTGACCAATTCATTGATTGCTTGACTGGTTGATTGATTGATTGACAGCTAAAAAAAAAACAATACCTTTTTTCGTCTTTATCAGTTGGAATAGAATGAAGAAAATTACACTCCTTTCCAAGRTGACAGCAACCTTTAGCAAAGTACAGACAGAAAAGGTGTCTACTGCTTTTTGGATCCATGATGTTAGCTGTGGTGAATCCAGCATCGTCTTCCAAACAACATCTAGTTTCAGCAGGGCCTATTAGACAGAGAGTAAAGAGATTTTAGAGCACGGACATCCCAATCGCATTCTTATTGGATTTATATTGACCCATACCGTCATCTGGATGCCAGTTCTCTCCAACCCATTTATCATACCATATATTRTACTCTGTAGATCCCTCGGGAATCCAATGTTGTCTGCTCTTYTCTCCTGGATCGACCTGTCTTCTTGCAGGTCGTTTCATGAGTTTATCAAGCTTTTCTTCGAACTCTTTATTCGTTAAACTTTTAAATTCTGGTTCCTCCTTAGGCTCGGGTGGTTTTACCGTTTGATTGTTTACAGAAGATTTCATTTTTATCCATGGATTAAATACTGGCGGTAAATTGTCCCAATTTGCTGGCTTTTCCCACTGAGTTTGTAAGTTTTTTGTGTTTTGGTAGTAGAAAAATCCAGAAGTAGTATCGTAAAGTGACATCCAATTGCCTCTGTGTTCGCAGACTTGGTAATACGATGAATAATATTCATTAGCATCACTGGGTTGTGTATTTTCGATAGAAGATGAATCGCTACAAGGTTTTTTCGCTTGAGTATTCTCTTCCTCAAGACTTCTCTTGGTGGCCGCCATGTTGATTTTACTATGAAGTTTGGGTTTCCTTTGTTGAAACTGTGGGAGACTGGGGATAGCTAGCGCAAATGGTGACAGCGCGAGCAGAGCGCCATCATATATTCTTTTTTCCCGATTTTTTCCCTTTTTTGCGTTATTTGAGTAAATGGTCCTCAAAAGTTAAAAGAAATTACATTCGAAGCTTACAAATCAAACGATTTTTATTTCAACTTTACTATAAAATCAAAACACTTTTTATACAGTTCATTAAACTAGCAAAGAAAGCTCTAGTCACTTTTAACACTCAGGCAACTAACACCAATTATCTTATCTATTCTAAGCAACTTTGCTAGGCATTGCAGCACATGGCTGATCAACAGTATTTTCCCTTGATAAGGGTCATAAATGTGAATGCTATGAGGGTCCACAACATCGCCTGTCTTCTCATCTACTCCTAACAAAATGCCTCTCTTCCATGATGCTAACATCTTTGCCTGAACCCTCATATAATTAGAATCGCCAGACTGATGTGAATTCCTGTGAAGCACTCTTGGTATTTGTAGGAATGCTTTACTAAGCACACCAAAGGCTGTGGCCATTTGTTCAGTTGTGGTGGCTTGGCATAATTCATCAAATATTTGCGAAATGACAAATTCTACCGATCCACATCCTGGTAGCAAAGTCAATTCTTTATGAGACTCTGAGAATGACATTTTAATGCAYTTGAGAGCASYTTGAATACCRATGCAGTACTGTTGTAGTAGGCCTTGGGTTGGAGCATTTAAAACAATATGATAAATCCTTTGCGTTGACTGCGGTGAAACACACGTCAACTGAACATGCTTTTGCCCAGCTACGATCTTTTCTAAACAGCTGCAACCCTTTCCTTTATAGTTATCAGAAATACTTTGAATATCATTCTGGTTGACACTGCAGATTGGCTGGACATTTGCCAGCCTGCAGATATAATCAGTGGTTTCCATGGGAACCATTTGAATGACAGCTATTCCAAGTTGACGACACAAGTGCAGAACCATGTCGGAAACACTCTCAGAAGAAATTAAAAGTTGGATATCTTGTTCCTTGAATGATTTTAATATAGAAAAACATGTCGTTTGGTTATGTAATAGAGCTTTAGAGTGTAGTGACAGACTTTCAACCTCTAGTTCCGCTTTTTCAAAATCTCTACTGCAATCCAAGGAGCACTGTAATAAAATGAATGTGAATGATGTTTCTCCTGGTTTTGGTAAWGCGACATCCTGACCAGTTGRGAGTTCCCTTGGTATTGCAAACCCTTCCTCTATGTGTGAATTAAGAAAAGGCATACCATGAAACTGAATACACCATTGAGGCAAGTCATCGATAAGCTTAATAATGTCATCATAAAAATTATCACGAGAACAAGTCTTTGTAATCAAATCCAACAGAWGTTTTGATAGCAGCTTTTGTACACTTTTAGAGAATTTCCCATTCAAGCAAGAATGAATGGTGTGCGATAATACTTCGTTTACTGAAGTTTGACTTGTTGAATTTAAATCAACAGAAGTCGAAATTTTCTCTAGTTTTGGCCGGACAAGGAATTCAAGCTCACTTTGCATCTTCATAAAATGCTTTGATAATGATAACATCGTTTGTAACGACGATGTAGTTAAMTCTGCTTGACTCTTGCTTTGCAGTACATCAGCTATTCCTCTTAAAGCTTGTGCAAGCACCAAAATAAATGCACAACAGCCATCACCAGTGATTTCATTGTGACTCTTTAACTTGTCAACAATAACATTTGCCAMAGGATGACCAAAACACAAAGAATTCACAATAACGCCACAACTATTTGTAATCAGTATCTTGCCTGACGACGAATTCAGCATTATATCAAGACCACAAGGCCCAAATGTGTCCTCTAGAAGATTTTCTAAATATGTACAAATTTTCAAACTTTCATTGACGACCGCCATGTTGAATTTTAGCTTGAGCCGTCAGACTTTACGTCAGCGGCAACACATTTATGAAATCCCGGCCAATAACAAAATGGCGGATTAGATCATGCCAAAAAGCGTCGAAGTTCGCCTTTTTTTTTCTTTCCTGCATGTTTTTTAATTAATCTAAGTTTTATGCCAAGCTAGGCGTAATTTCACGACTGTAGTATTTGGGGATATGGCTATAGAACTCATCCAAGGGTGCAAATCTACTTAGAACCGAAAGAATAATATTTCTCTAACTTCAGACGACGACAACAGAATATTATTATAATTCCATTCYTTCGCGACGGCAACCAAGCTTACAAATTCGCCGGAGGACGACCATTGTTCACTGCATTTTCTCGTTGCGGAGTAGCATAAGAAGGTCTTTCTCATGGACATTGTGACAACCTCCTGACTTCTTTGAAATCGGACACCAAATGTACAGCCATTGACTATTAAACAGGAAACGTGACATTGCAAACTTTCTCTTTTTTTGTTTGAATAGCTCTTTTATAAAATGCACGAACCTTTGTGCGAAGTTCTCCTTGAAAAGCTCTGCACGGCTGTTCAGAAGGTAGGTTCAATATTCGTACCAGTCGGAAGAAAATTAATATTTAGACTTTGGAATGGATTTTTCAAAACATTCTCATACAAAAAAATGTTTCTGTCAATCTTTATACAAAACGTGCGAAACTGTGTCAAAAAAAATACAGTTGTAGCCAGCATCATATTCATACATTTAATTCACTTTAATGAATAAAGTTCTTAAAATATAGATGAAAAAATTGCTTGCTATTTGTGTTTGATAGAAAGTA